GTGCCCCTCTGGCCGGGAGGACTACAGATCCCAGCATGCCTTGGGGCGCGGGCCCGCCCCGGATGGCGCCACGGGCGGGCACGCACAGGGAGAGGAGGGTCTTGTAGCCCCAGGGGGGTGGGAGCGCAAAGAAGCTGCCCCTGCAAGGGGTAGGAGGAGGGAAATGCTACGAACGTGCAGCTCAGCCCTGGGTGCTGCTGTCACAGCCGGGTCAGTTTACACCTTCAGGGGGAAGCGGCCTCCTGAAGACTGAAAGCCCAGCACGGGCGCTCCTGTTTCCTTAGTGTGACACCAGGGGCCTTGCTGTCCCTTTGTGCTTTCAGTTGTGTAGTGGTTGGTGAAGAGGAGCCGCAGGCTACTGCAGCTTTTTAAAAACCAGACAGGTTAGTGCCCCTGGCAAGCTGCCTTATCACTGCTGGTAAAGCCAACCTTGGCTGCAAGAGCTTCTTGCTTTTCCTGTAGTCCGCCCGTTTCGGATTTACTCCCAGCATCTCAGGGGCTGCGCCGGGGAGCTGCGGGTCATCGAAGCCAGGGGGTTGAGGGATTGGGGTTTTTCCTCCCAGATTCAACAGTGTAGCTGAAGGTTTGTGACACTTTTCTGATGTAAGGGTGGTGCTCAGCTCGCTTTCACCGCTGGAAAGGTACCGAGCAGGACGGTATGTCTGCGGTCTGCCCCTGGTCCTCAGTTGCTGCTGCTTCTCATCGAGATAATGTTTAACCCTTTTTTCTGAACTTCCTGCTTTTTCTCTTGCCCAAGGGCAAAGACTAAACACAGAGTTTGAAAGCGTTCACAGGAGCAAGAAGTAAATTAAACAATTCATTTTCTCACACAGAAGCTGTTTCTGTGTCAACGCATGAATCTGCACGTGCCAAGAAGAAAGAATTTTGTGCTAATTTCCTGGAAACGCTGTCATCTCTTATGTTTACTGCAGGTAAACTCTATGTTGACATTATCCAGATGATTCAGATAAGCACAGGTGGGTTGTATTCATCTCAGTGCTTGGCTAACAACACCTGCCTTTCATTTATTTCCTTATTTGAATCAGTTGTGGCAATACTGGAGGGTAAGGACAAGGCAGAAGGCATCCTCTCCAGGCTGGATCACTCAGCTCCACAACTACCTCATCTTCCTTTCTGTGCTGTGGGAACCAGCTGTTCCTAGAAAAACATAGTGGATCTCACAGCTGGGGGAGAACAGTTGGAGGTGTGATGCTAACCTGGAGCAGATAGTTAAAATTTCATCTGAGGACAAGGAAGAGCACTGCTTTGTCAACCTGTCTCTTGTCAGTTCCGTTTGCCTTTTTTTTTTTTTTCCCTTAACTCTGCAGGGTTTTTCACCACTGAAATTTTGGAGGCACAGGAGGTATGAATGGCAACTGTGCTGCATCCTGGCCCCTCTAGAAGAAATTCACTGGACACTGTACAGTTAAGTTTTTTGCACACAACTGCTTCTCAAACTAACCTCGTCCCAAGCAGTTTCCTGTTGCACAATGAGATCCATGGCTCTGCAGAACAGATACTTCTGGGAGTAGCAGCCACTCAGGCTGTCACCTCACACCAAGGCTGTAACTGGGGCAGCTGATTTCCACGGGCTACCAAAAGTTCTGCAGAAGGCTTTTCAAGCTGCAGAACTGAGCTCAGCTCCCCTCGTGTTTGGTCTCTCCTTGGCTGGCTTTGTTGCTTCCTTCTCTCCTCACCCTCACTCACAGGAAGCTGGGAGTCCCTGGGGTCCTTAGGCAGCTTCACTGCAGAATGTATGGTTGAAGCCAAACATGAATCCCTATGCTATGCCATCACTGGAAAAGGCATGGAATACCATTTTCCCCTACAGGAAGAACCAAACCAGCCCAGGCTGCTCTCCTGTCCAGGGTCCCTGTACACACCTTCTGCCCCACCTAATCTTGGAGGGATGTGGATGTGTGTGGTGGATCTTGGTCAGGTGCTCTGTGACATGTAGGTGAAGGAAGCTGGCAGCCTTTGCACACCTTGAGGCTGCACAGTGGCATGAAATATTGAGAGATAGGAGGTGCTCCACTGCTCTGATGCCAGCTGTCATTTTAAGAAAGACAACTGGCTTCCTGTGTATTTGCCTTTTGTGATTGATTTGGTTTGGTGTTCAGGATGATGTGAGCTCTGACAGAAGATAAAGGGCTTCCTCCTGATTAATTTTTCTTATATCTAACAAAGTGTGAACTGACATTGCAGCCCCTCCTTCAGCTCTGCACCAGAAGAACCTGCCACCAGTGCAGAGGAGGCTTGTTAAACTTGCCTGAAATGGGTCACACATCTGAAGATACACACCCCCAGAGTCTAAACCTCAGTTCCATGGGAAATGTGGCTGAAGATGACAACCTCAGAGTAGGCATTGTTTCAGTACATCCAGATTGCTTCCAGTGTTTACACCACCCCCAGTCTTGTCTGTTTGCTCTGTGGTTGTCAAAAATCCCCACTACATATACTTGCGGAACAGCATGAAACACTTTGTTTCACCTGTTACAAGGTGCAGACTGTAGATGTTAGAGTGCTGCTAATAAGTTTTTAATCAAAAGCCAATATTTTACTAATTTCTCTGGGGATACTCCAGCTTTTCCAGAGTGTCTGGAGGTAGCAGAATCCAGCCACTGTGTTGCAGATGAAATCCCACTGGCTGCCAGACATGCAGCTGTATTTACCATATATCTGGGACTGTCAGTTCTGGCTCAGCCCATGCTCTGGTTAGCCAAGCAGCCTGTTGGTCATATTAATTAAAACCAGACACCATGGGAAGATCAAGAGCAGGACAGGCACGTACAACATTTCCCCTAATACTTTTCTAGCCTCTGACTACTTTAAACTCTCCAGATTTTCTTCAGTCATTACTGCTGTGCCATCAAGTTCTGCCAGAGACTGTTAGTGATGAGAGGGCACCAGGACCAGCAACAGGGTGGACTGCCTAAGGCCAGTTGCTGAAGGGTCTGCAGTCTGTGGGTACCTGTATTTGTGGATGCAAAGGGGTCCGAGTACCAGCAGCCTGAGTGGGGCCAGTGGGCCTCAGGGGCTTGTAAGACCAGGTATCTGTAGCAGCAGAGAACAAGGATCCAAGGCCAGCTACCAGATAAATGAACATCTAATGCCTGTGACTGGAGGGATCAGTGTTGTGTATATGTGCCTGTGTGTTCCACTAAGGCCCTTGCTGTTGGTCCTATTCCTGTTTGCAGAAGTGCTGTTTTCTGGTTTTTTATGTTGATTTTTTTTTTTTTTTGTTCTGTGTGGCTGGGCAGGTGTATACACATACATGTTTGTAGGTGTGTGCCTACTGGGAGCACACACTCGGCCTTGCTACTGGCTGGACCCAGGGAGCTGGAGCTGCAGGCAGCTTCAACTCTGCCAGCCTACCAGTTGAGCAGCTCCAACAAACACTTCCCTCCTGTGGCAGTCAGGAGGTTTCTTTCCAAAAGAACAAGGTTAAAATGCAATTTTCGTGTGGCAGTTACTATTTTTCACTGTACCATATTCCTGAATACCTTATCAGCAGAAATACATGTTTATTTTTTTTCCTAGAGTAGCTGCATCTCTGCTACTCTGCTGCTTTGGTTACTGAAGAAAGGGATGAAAGTACAGGTAGTCTCTTCTAAACAAGAGTGTTTGAATCCATCCCTGGATTGCAACTCAATTAGATAAAGGATGTCAGTGCTACAGTAATTAGTTTACTAGCCAATCTCTGCAGTAGCAAATTAAGGATGAAGAAAGGGAAAGTTCATCTGTAACACAACAAAAAACTAGGAGCTGACAATTTCATACTTAAAATTATACAGATGGGTAAGACTTACCAGGCACTGCTGCTAGGAAATGTGTTAGCATTGTGTGGAGCTTGTGTGGGGAAATGAAAGATTTCTAAAGTGCTCTTCTTCCCCGATCAGCAGCAAGACCAGTTTGTGTTTCTTCATCACAAATAAAGCAGGATGAGCCTACCTACACACTGTAAAGCAAACTCTTACACATTATTTTCTACAATAATCAACAGCAATGACAAATCTGTGCAAAAAAGTAGGCTGCCTGTTGTTTGTATTTATTCTTTTAGATGCTTGGTAGGTGCTGTCAGGAGATTTTTCATGGTGAAACACAACACCATCTCCCTCAGGTGAAATAACTGCAAAAAGAATTTACAAGGGATTTCTGTGAACATATGACAAAAAAGTTTGGATGAATAATTTAACATGGCAGCTGAGTTTAAAAATAGCTTGAAGATTCCAGATTAAGTATATAGGCAGGAGTTTTAAAAAGCCCTTTTCCCTGCTTTAAGCAGCTCTTCCAGGAGATACAGAAATTATGTTAGTGTAGGGCCATAAAGGCCCTATGACTCAAGAAGCTTCAGAACCTGGTGCCTGCTCTTGCCACTATTAATATCCTGCAGTAGCCTGCACTTTTAAAATCCTCTTTAGAGAATAATTTTTAAACAAAGAACACTCAGGATCCAGTGTTATTTCAAAAAAGTTTAATGTTTGTTTTTAAAATAATACTGTTTAATCAAGAGTAAAGAAGAACCCACATATACACCCTCTTCTTGGGTGGTGGTGAGAGAACTTAAATTACAGACATACCCATAAATAGAAAGTCTAACCATTAAGAATATAGAAAAAGCCTCTCTGATTAACCACATTAATGATGAAAAGAATGACCCTTCATACCAAAGAGATACCATTCCAGTCATGCAAATCTGCACCCACCTTCTCAGAACAGGATCCAGAAGTCCAGCAGTTCCAAGTAACATTTTCTTAGCTCCTGTGGAAATTAACCAAAAGCCAGCAAAGCCAATCAGCTTGTTATAGCAAACCTGATGCTCACCCTAAAGTCCTGCTTGCTGACCATCTGCGTGGATTTAACTGTTACAGTCCCAAATCTGAGGCCCTTTTAATTGTTTTTCCCTCTGCAATAAAAACTTTCCACACCAAAAAGCTTTTAATGTAGTCTGGAAGAAATCTGACAAGCTTAATACAGAATGAAAACAGCTGTAGTTGAATATAGAGTGAATGTAGGTAGTGCACTAGGAACAGAGATTTGTAGGATAACTAAAAGGCACATATTTGATGCTTTGGTCTAGAATGCTAACTTTATAAAGCAGAGAGTTTCATCCTACAAATCTGAAATCAGCTTTCAATTGGTAAGCCCCTTTTGGGTTCCGAAATACAAATTCAACTCTCAGAGGAATAATTACGTGTCATTTAGTATCTTGGATTATATCTCTTCTGTAGACATCATAGCCACCTTGAAGCAGGCTGTCCATGCTGTATCTTACATCAAATGCCAGAAAGCTCAAATATGAACTATGAAGTACTGTAGCAAATACAGATATATTCCTACCCCCTCCCCCCACCAGGCAAACTGAATCCATTGCATTAAATCATTGGATTGAATGCGTTAAATACAAGTACAAATTACTTTTGTAATCCTATCTTTGACAATATGGCTGGAGACACAATCAAAATAAACTGGCTTTGAACTGCTCTCCTACACTTGGTAACACAATATAATCTGTCAAACTAAGTGGCAGAGGACATGAAGTTTAAACAGTAACTGGAAAGCACCATATTAAAAGGGTTTAATTCCATTAAGCCTTCAGTTATTATGAGAAAAAGCAGTGACTCCTAGTGACTGATACTCCTTTGCTAATGGACTTTGTTCCTTTTTTTCCTCCACTAATACTACCCATTTTCAGGTGCATAGCTACATGAGTCCTTCTCTCATCTAATTATTTGCCATTTACCTTTAACTTCTGGTTGTTTTTCTTCATCTTTGGCAGGAGAGGAACACCGCTTAAGTGAGCATGGATCATCCCAACCATTTCTTTTCCAGAAAGCTGTTACGGGGCTATTCATATTCTTCAAAGCTACTACGGCTCCTGAAGTGTTATTTTGTTTCTACATTCAACAAATATTTGTAAACAAATCAGACATGGTGGTATCCCAAGTGATTGATACTAACTTCAGTGTTTCTTAGGTTCTGGCTAAAGCTCCCTCACAAAAGCAGTTTCTTGGAAAAAAATAAATAATTTGATTAAGAATTGAAAACCTTACCTTTTGTGTGTGCTTTTCTGTCTGTAAACTGAAAATCCTTCAGTGAGCCTACGGTAAAAGGCAGTATCACTTTCCTCAAAGCAGGTCTGATACAGGTTTTATCTGCTGCAGCTACTCAACTGTTCTCCACCACCAGCCAGAGCAATTCTGAAGGCTCTGCTACCTGCACCCCCAGCCACTGTCCAGCTTCATGGAAATGATCACAGCAGCCTGACTCCTTTCACCAGAGCCTAGAACAGCGAATCAATGATCACACACATGGTCAGCCTTCTCACTGCAAGCAACAAGACAGCCCAGTGAGAGGTGGAGTTTGGATCATGAAACAAAACCCAGGAACTAATACTAAATATGGAGGCTTGGGTTTCTGCTCTAAAGTGGAATATAACAGTCTGCTGCTGCATTATTTTGTCTAAGTTGGTTATAGCCAGGAATACATCCATATTGGCTGAAACTAGCTATGAGAAAGGATGGTCTAGCAACCATAACGTGCATCTCTCTCTCCTTCAAGCTAGATAGGGGCAGAGGAGTCAAGTAAAATCAATTTTATGGCTATTCGATACTCCCACACTGGTGGAACAGAGGCTGTTTGGACTTATTGTGTGCAGCAGGCAGAGAGTTTCAGAATTATTTTGCTCCCTTTACTTTGCTGGGATGTTCTGAGACAAAAATAAACCAAGACTGTATGACATCAAGTGTCACATAAAAACCTGTCTCAAGCAATTTCTCTTGTGCTTTACATTAAAGAAATACAGTTTTATCAGGCTTTGGGATGTACTAGTTTGGTGGATGGTTGTGGGTTTGTTTTTTCAAGAGACTTCTGTAATCTTCACTTACTTTCACTTGCTATTTGTGGAGAACAGCCCTATTTCTGGAAACAGTTTGGGGTTTACCAGGCTAAAAAAATAATCTGTCTTCACCTACATTTCCTACTATCTGTTTTCATGGGCAAAATTTAAAATCTTTGTGCAGCTTCCCTTAGCTAAGAAGTGGACATTTATCTCCACCTTTGGAAAGAATTAAGAAAAGGCAGAGACCTTATATCTTCATCTATTACTTGTATTTTTTACCACTAAGACACAAATGCATTTGGAAAATAAAAAAACCTGTAACAGAACAGTTGTTGATGCATTTCTTCCCTGTTCGCATGCCATTTAAAAGTCTAAAACAAACAGGCAAACAATCCCCTCAAAAGTTTTTTGTGGATTAGTTAAAACTTAGAGACAACATTCCAGGAAGCTAGAAGCAAGATTTACCACCTCAAGAGACTACCCCAGGAAAAAAATAATAAAATTGCTGTATTTTGTCTAAAACATTACTTTTGCTTTTAAAGTTTTCTGCCAGTTGTAAACATTCAAAGGCTGCTTCTTCTTTCCAAATACAGCCACAGATGTCAAAAGAAACTGAAAGGAGTATTAGAAAAAACCACAACACCCGGAGTTACAATAAACTTAACAGAATGCCAGAAGCCTTCCTCTGGCTCTTCTTCCACAATAAAACTTGGTTTTGCAACACTTGATACAGGAGAAAGGCCTTTCTGCCAGCCTCCATCACAGCAAGCTAAAGGTTGCAGCATCAAATGAAAGCTTAGTTAAACCATTCTCCTTTGAATTTGCTAGTTATTTGTGTCTGGTTTAAAGTAGTGTAGAGAAAGAAACATTTAAACCAGGTTTATTTCCTCCCTATCAGTAGCTTTCTAAAAATCAGCAAAGGTAACTTTTTATGTAGCTTTTAGAGAACTAGGTCAGAAAGGAGAGGTAACGTATTGCACCATTCAAAAACAGAAGTAAATCCCCTCTATTAACTCACCCCTTCTCCTGAGGATCTGGAGTCAAGAGTCCAAGGCCACACTAGAACTTAAGGCTTCTCAGTCAGTGCACTATGCTACGGCTCTGTCAGCAGAGGGGACCAGTACAGTGGATAAATCATTTACTGCTTCTGGAAACCATAGCAAAAAAAAAAAAAAAAAAAAGGAAAAATATAAATAGAAACATATGCCATTTCATGAAATTGCAAGACAGTGTTAAAGCCTCTGTCTGCCTATCTGCCTAGATGTCATCATCTATACCATCTGTTTTGTTCTCCCTTCCAGCTGTTCCAGGAGTACCAAATTAATCTTTCTTCCAGTGTGGAACAGAAAGCCCTACCCCACTCAGGGACAGAAAAAAACCCTATTTGACAAAAGTGCACAAAGAGAAGTACTATTTAATTTGTCCCATAGGAGGTTCAGCTTCTAGAGAGCTGAAAAAAAATATGAAGTAACATTTCCCAGTTTCTCACTTGCAAAACTCTTGTATTCCCTTGATGCTAGCTGCTCTCCATTCATGGCCCACCAGGTTCTGCACTGAACACCACCACTTGTAGAAGCAACTGTAGGAAAGGTAACAACAAGGATACTGGATTTATGTTGACGGCCTTTCCCCCCAAATAAAACTGAAGAAGAGTATGTGCTACACAGGTAACATAACACTGAATAAGATTGACTGAATATGATAGTCCAAATGGTTCTGTTTGCCATTGCATGCACTAAGACCTTCATGAAAACCACTCTGCAAAACAAGTATCTATAATAAGAATATCTATATAATGAACTAGATAATATCGCCCTTTCCTGCACTGATATCCCTCAGGTAAGATAATCAGTTCTCCTCTTTATCTGTGGATTTACAAGGGATCAGGCACTACACTGAAGATATTGGAGAGAAAATGGGGGGGGCAAAATGTAGCTGTCAAATTTAAACAAATAAACTCAGATACATAACAAAAAAAAACATTTACAAAAGAAAAGTGAGAAACAGCTACTAAGGACTTTTTAATAAACCAGCAATCTCTACTCATTACCCAACTCCATTTTTAAAGTATCAAAGCATGTCAAACCCTTCTTTGGTTTTGACAGCAAATGGTTATTTGAAGAAAGTAGGGCAATGATACTAACAAAGACGTCTTATATTCAATGTAGTAACTGCTTAACATCATCAAAACAGCTCAAAGAGCCCTTACCAAAACCCTCTTCCCTTCTTAAACACCTTTTTTGTTGATTTGACCATTTATACTAGATTTCCAAATTTGGCTTAGATAGTTCATGCATTTCTAATATGAAAACCATCATAATGACTCTGAAAAATGTTTCATACCTTCTTCACACACAGTCATGGAAATGGAAGAAAAATTGTGACTTTCCCCCCTCTGGAGGTCCACATGCTGGTAGTAATTACAGAAATATAAACTTTGCTTGGGTTCTGCCCCAGACCTCCCACCTTGAGCTTTACATAGGACTCAGGTCTTCAAACAAACTTCCACTGATGATGTTGACAGTAGTCCATTGACTTGTGCTGGGAATAAACCAGTTTTTACCAAACAGGCTAATTGTTGAGTATCTTCATCTTCTACAGTTTCCCAATTTTATGAGCTGCTACTACAAGAGCTTGAAACTAATTGAAATAAAACACTTAAGTAAAACAACCAAAAAAAAATAAATCAAAAAGAAAGTCTTGTTGAACACCATATGTTTATTTTTAAAACAATTTACAAATAAAAATGTTATCTTTTTCCAAGCAAACACATTTAATACTTGAGTCTTTAACAAGCTATACAAATGAGAACCATCACTCTAGAGCTTTTGATAGCTCAAGGGCCATTCAGGGTAGGCATGCATGTGTCTGTATCACATGAAGCGAGTCCAATTCCTGACACCAGGGTTCTGATCTTCTGCTTCTTCAGAGCTGGACAGCTGCTAAATGATTTAACACAAATAGTTACTGGATCACAATACAATGAAAGAAAGCCCATTTCAAATAATGTAAGTGACCTCAATATGTCTGGTCCAGGTGTCAGGCCACAGAGCCTTACCGATTAGTCTTCTTCTCCAAAAGCCAGTCGGACAGATTTCTTCCCCTTGCTTAGTGACGTGGCATCCATACATGTGCTTATACAATACAATTAAACAGCTTAAGTACAGATGTCATACAACAGTGATTACAAACCACAGAGACGGATAAACAAAAAATTAATTCTAAACACATTTTTGCATCTCAGACAATGAAAGTAAACAAAACCATGCATTACAGTTTAAAGAAATTTTCAGTTTTAGCTCTTCTGCAAGTCTCCATTTCCTCAAGTTCTAAATTGCTGTTCTTGAGCTTGTCCCAGTGGCTGGGCTACTCACGGTGCTACTGACACACACACAGGGTGAGCTGGAAATCATCCAAGAATAAAAGCCCCAAAAATAAACAACAAAGACGCACGCATTATAAACGAGAGATTCCATTTTAATAGCAGAGTGTAGAAAAGAAATTGGCAAAAAAATTCACATGAAAAAACATTTTACACAATTAATTATGTACAGAATAAAGTATGTGTCTGGTTTCTGAAGACTTCACTTTAGTAAAGTCGTGCTACAGGATGCAAAATACACCCAAATCCCTCCACTGGAACAAAAGAAAAAAAAAACAAAACATAAAACATATACATAATCCCAGCTCTGGCTCCTCAAATATTGGGACTGGCTGGGATCACTTCAACCCACTGGGCTTTCTGCTAAGCTTTCAGCAATTCCTGAATTTGTTGTAGCTTCCAAACTACTGTCAGCAGTTTCTCTTTGCTCAGTCTTCTTGCTCTGGATGGTGCATACTCCCTTGCCTCCTAAGCCACCCTCCTTTCTGTCTGTTTCTTTGAGCCCAGGAAGGAAAGTTTCCACACAGGTAGAAGCCTGACTTTCTGTGCTGCCTCCATCACAACTCAGTGATAGCACTTCAACAGTTCCGCTTTTGCTCTCTTCCACTTGCAGAAGGATCTCAGCCTTGGAAGAAATGCCCTGCATTTCTAGAGCTGGCATGACCACTTCTGTAGTGTTACTATTTGAGGATTGCGGCACAGCTGTTTGAGAAATCTGTGTGCAAAATTTATCTTCCCGGCTTCCAGAAGTCAATGTAGCAAGATCATTCGTCTCTGTTTCATCCACTATTTTTTCAGTGCCCAGCTTCTTAACTTTACTAGACTTCAGCCTAATGGATGTAATAGTTTCTAGGTTTGAGATTTCTTCTGTATTGTCATTTAAAAGTCCGGCTGGAAGGATCCTGTGGCATCCATGTTTTACCTTAGTATTTCCCAAACTGCAATCAGTGCTTTTGAACTCGAGCTCTGTTTTCTGGGAAGGAGTCTCATTGTGCTTCACACCTTCTGATGTCAAAGAAACTTTCTTGACATCCATACAAACATTTGCAGAGACACTTTCAGATTGCTCGGTGTTCATTCCTGAGTGAGTGGTATTCAGAAGAAAGTCATTGACTTCTGAGGTTCTTAGGACCTCATGCTTTGTCTCTGGGGAGTGGACAGCTTCTTCTGAAAGATGCTCCCTATGGAAATCTGATGATAAAGTAAGGACTGATTCTTGGACAAGATCAGAGCAAGCCCTAGAAAAGCCTCCAGTCCCTAATTCTTTTGCATCTCTCTTGATAAAAACATTATCTAATGTTGCATAAGATCCAGTGCATCTTAATGATTTTTTTTCAACTTCAACTACTAATTCTACACTGGATCTGAGTTCAACAATGTTTGCTGAGCAGGTGTTGACTAACCATGCAACTTCCTGCTTTGGGGTTTGGTTAACTAAAACTGCACAGCCTGAAGGTTCAGGTCGAACTTTTTCCTGAGCTTCCAATATGCTACTACTAGTTTCTGCGTTGGCAAGACATGTGCCTGGCCGTACCTCTGTCAATAATGAAGCACTAACTTCATTAGAACCAGTTTTTATTTCTACATTTGCAGTTTTTGGTAGATCTGAACCACTTTCAGAACAAGAATGGGCTGTGATAACCTGTTCTTCTCCATTACTAGTTCTGGAAGTGTCCCATTCACCAGGGCTCCCTGTCAATTTTGAAAGTCGAGGAGCTTCACCAAGGTCTCCTGGCTGAGATACTTCCAAAGCTACACTTTTCAGTTTTACATCTTTTAAGGAGGCATCAACAGAATTCTGCTCAGTCATTACTGCTACCAAAGCTTTTTCTTTTGAAGTGTTTTGAGAATCACAGACCAATTCCAGACTATCAGTTTCTGTGTGACTTCTACAGTTATCACTTAACATTTGGGATTTTCCCAAATTTTTATTTTCATTCTGTGTTTCATGTAACAAAGTCTTTGGGTGTAAGGTAAGCTCAGGCTCTACCACTTTTACGTCCCTGTCTTTCTGCATCTCTGCATCTTTCTCCAAGGTACCAGGACCATTTGTGTTAGTAACCACAGTTTTATTTGCATCTTCCTGTCCAACTTTCTCTTGGACCTCTGTTTTGCCTCCCTGCTCTCTGTCTCCTATATCCACAAGTCCAATTTTTGCAGGCATCTGGATACCAGAAGTAGTTTTTGTTTCTGACAATTTTGTGACAGACATTTCCAACAACTGAGGCTGAACTGGTTTCTTGTTCATTTCAGCCTGATTCTGACCAAGAACCCAAGTCTCTGTTACTTGATTATTATTACACTGCGAGGAATTTTTTTTCAATTTAGTCCAAACATCTGTTGAAAGAGGAGTGTGAATTTTTTTACCTATGTCTTTCTGAATACCATTTTCAGTGTCAGAGCTCATGTCAGTATGAAGTTTCAGAGTCTCCTGAGTATCAGCTTTCTCCATTTCTGAAGTTTTCACAGCTGAGTGGACTTGGCTAACTTCAGCAGCTGCATTCTGAGAATCCTCTTTCAAGGAGGATGAGTTATTACTTGTTTTAGGGTTTGCGGGTAACTCTGCAGGTTTTGTTAGGTTAGAGTTTTCTCCATTTGGAAGTGCAGGATTTGCAAGCTTGCTGTCAGCTGAACCCCTTCCACCACTACTGTAGAAAATACCATACAGATCTTTAGCATTGGCTGTGGCCAAGCAAGAGTTGCGTTTCTCTACCTTTTTTGCTTGTTCACTGAAAGCAGTTGAAGGTGGTGGTGGTGGTGGTCTCACAAGCATTGCCAGCATTGTCTGTTCACTTTCAGACACACCTGGAGCTACTTCATCTGCAGGGATGACAGCTGCCTGTTGGACTGCTGGTGGAGGAGGTATATCAGAAGTCTGAGAAGACTTACTTTTCTCTGCTGCTTTCAAATCCTCCTCTGCCCCTTTTAAAATTACTTCTTCTCCTCCAAAAGCTTTTGAGATGATATCTGGAGGCAGTAGAAGATCTGCACCTGTTTCTTTTACCACAGGCAGTGGTTTAGTGGTAGCTCCAGATGATTTTATGGACAAAAAGGTGTTCAAAGGTGCTGGTTTGCTAACTGTTGCAGTAGTAGACTTCCTGAAAATCATGGTGGGGACTGGCAGATTGGGTAGAATTTTTGCTGGTGTTGGTGTGGCTACGACTGGTGTCCACGGGCTAGTGTGTGGAATAACAGTTTTCCCAGACAGCTTGATTTCAATAGGCTTGACATGGGGTTTTGCAGACTGACACTTATTCTCTTCCTTGATTCCTTCTGTGTTCTCCTCCTTTGGAATAGCTCCTCCTGGGGTTTTATCCTCTCTCTCAGACTTTTTCCAGCTGAATTTCCCAAAGGAAGTCTGGCTTGGTGATTCCTTTTTAGATTCCTCTTTCTTTTCTTCTTTTTTCTCCTCCTTATCTTCCTTCTTCAGCTTAAGCTTGATACCCATTTTTCGCCCAGAAGAATCAATTTTGCCTTGAGTTTCACTAGTCCCTTCTCCAAGCTCTGGGATGCTTTTTGCTTCCTCTTTCTTCACTATTTTTTGTTTCTTCTCATCCTTCTCTTCTTTCTCTTTCTCAACTAGTTTCCGTTTCAGCTCGCTCTGCCGCCTGCGCTCTGTTTCCAGAACAACAGCCAATCCAGCCTGGCGGTCTAGATTTCTCCTCTCTTCGTAGAGTGGGTTTTCATCTATGTATTTCTGTGGAAATAAACGCCACAATTTTAACCACTGCTTCCACAATAAATACATAAATACATATATCCAGCCTCTGTAACTGTTTTGACTTCTGGACTAAGTGTCATCTCAACACTAAGAGAGCACAGAACTTATTCCTACCAAGAAAATGAGAAGCTACAAACTCCATATTCTGTAAGTTTATGTGAATTCAATGGTGGCTTGCAGCAGTTCTGTCGCATCTGAAAATCAACACTGAGACTTAAACACTGTTTCAACATCATGCTGATGAAAGACTAGTCTATGCAGTGGGAAGTTCTGCTTATTTAGTTCAGTAGAATGTAGTGAAGATAACCAAATACATATACTCTGAAGAGTCAAATGTCATTCTTCAGGAAAGAAAGACAGAACAAGAAGAAGCTAACACAAGGAATGACTCACGCCTGGTACACCAGTTACCAACCTTATATTTCTCATTGTGGGGATGACTTTTCACATGCTGCTCTGCTGAGATTTGATCTCCAAAAAATTCATGACAGAGCTGGCAATAATATCCAGTGATGGGAATCAGAAACTCAGAGCCTGAAAAGGCCGAAGAAAATTATCAGAGAAACAAAACTTAATAAATGCCAAGCTCTTAACTAAGCCACATAAACATATGAAAGAACAACAGCAATACCTCTAGCAATGTTCCTTTTGGAACAGTTAATGCTGCTCTCCCTATGCTTACAGTATGGAAAACATCATTATCAGGAGCAAACACGTAAAGTGAAGAAGCTTGATTACTATGATTCCAAGAATTATTCTAGCGTTCGCCATCATATTAATGCTATTCCCTATTGAAGTAGGTTATCATTTCCTACAGACTCAATTTGTTGTCTTATCTTTGTGGGATGGTCTGCTCAAATACGAAACACCTGGTTTATAAAAAGAATACAAGTCTTTTTATTGAAGATTACACCATTGTGCCTACAGAACCAACTGCAGTTATCTAACACACAGCAGATTCTCCTTTTGCAGTCACTGCAAGAAATGTCGAAGATTAATAAACTGAGATTGATCACTGACAGGGCTATTTATTTTTCAGATTTTAAATCTTGTCTCAGAATTAAAATCACTTGGAGCACCTTCCATATGGCTTTCTCAGACTCTCTGTATCTACAGTCTACCAAGTACTCATTAGTGATTTTTCAGGGAGACCTACTATAAATGTATCGAAAGGAAGTGTCTGTTGCAAGACTGTGCTGAGTGAGTACAGCACAAGATCTTCCCAAACGCTGTTTTGAATTAATGTTTTGAATTCATGTTTTGAATTCTGTTAGCAGAAATAACTTCAGAACTACACCGGAGAAAGAAAAAGTCACTTGGTATTAAAAATAAAAAAAAGCTAAACTCTAAAAAGAAAAGAAGGAACCATGCTATGTTTTCCTACACTCTTGCTTCGAGGCCTTTTCCACAAGACAACCAATAAATTAAATAATTTGCCTTTTACCTAATAATACAGTATCTGTATGTGCTCCCAGAACAAGGTGAAGTTTTGAAATTCCTTTCTCTGAGCAACTGGAACCTGCTGGAGAACAAAGGGAGATGATATCCCACTAAGAAAAAACAAAACATACCTTTGGCAGGAACAGTTATCTTATCGATGCGTTTTATGGAGTCTTGTTTGGTCTCACTCTGAGTCTTCGAAGCCCAAGGTCTGTTGTAAGGATCCAGGGTCTATTTGCACAGTGACAGAGGTATACAGGCTCATATATTACACTAGCAAGGCAAGTATACTTGTCTTTTTCCTTTTTAATATCCTTTCAGAACACTGAACATTAAAATCAGCGTGCAACTATTTACAGGAACTAGATTCTCCTCTCTTTCCCCTCCCATTTTGCAATTTATAATGAGAAAATAACCTGTGAAAAGGGTCAAATGTAAATGATAGCAAAGAACAGGCAAACATGAAACACAAATATGGAAGGCTAGCTCCTGAGTGAACTGAACACAGGCCCCATTTACACTAGTCACACACCAGTGACTGAACAAACTGCTTAAGTCCAACGTTAGGGAAAAATAATTCAATACGGAACTTCTTGGGTTCATTAATACTTCAGGTTCTCTTGTAAAATGTAGTTCTGTGATGTATGTTTTAGTGTTATTATTTATAGCAATATGAAATGCATTTAGTGAAGGAAGCCTGCAACATACCTGTCTGTGTTTCTTATTATGCATGTGTGTGAAAAAATCAAACAGGGTCCCGCAGATGGTATTGCAGTCTTTGCACCAGTGGTTCCCTGCATCATAATATTCATAAATATTGGCCAACTGGAAAGGATGTTTGGTGGACTGTGAAGAGGATTCTGCTGGCTTCGGACTTCTACCTCTGGATTTTTCATTAGTAGTTTTTGATTCCTAAATTGAACAAAAGGAAACACTTATCTAAGATAAGGCAGGATAGACATAATGCTCTAGAACTCAGAACCTGCCTCCAGCAGAACCCCCGCACACACACGAAAAAAAAAAATATATCACCTGATTTTCAGTGCCCAGGCTAATTCCACTGTTTCAGAGAGCTGGTATTGCCGACTAAGATGCTGCGTGGCCGCAGTGAAGAGCTTCCAATATGGCTCCCAGATGTAATGGCTGTATGGTTGCAGGTAATCAAGGAACCAAATGAACAAATTCCCTATGGCATGCACCCTTCCTACTTGATGGGTTTCACATCAAGATCTGAATAGTTCCAATTTACCATACTAGCCACACAGTACCCAGAAGACCTAAAATGGTTCCCCTAGAAGCATTCAGAAGTTAGTGTAAAAGTAGCTTGGATAAAAGCAGAATGAAAAAGCAAGTAAGAATTAGTTGACTAAAAAGTACTTAACCCAATCAGCTTGACTATTTGACTATTTGAGAGTTCCTGAGTTGTCTGGAAGACTTTTTACTTGGAAATAATAGAAAGGTGTTTTGTTAATTACCTAAGTTTGTATGGTGAAGCATCTTGCAATTTAAGCATGTGATATTTGCACTTACATCCATTTGTACAGAAAGATGCCATACAGCGATACACAGACATTTCAGGACTCTAGCCAAAATTAACACTAAACTAACACTGCAAAGTAGAAAAACAAATAATCCCTGACATAGATCATGAATGAGCCCTGCTAATTTAGATTATGAAAGTACTAGATGTATTTTGTGTTTTGAGCGCCATTTTCAATGGCTGAAAGCTCATTATATTGTCATTTCTAATCTGAATGGCAGTCTGAAAAGAATAGCATGTTAACTTAGCAGACCTGAGCTGGCTGCATGATTTCCAAGTTATTCAACTATGGGTGTTGAACAAATTCACTTAAGCAAATTCAAAGTCATTAAATAATATCTGCCTTGCTTGAAATTCCTTTGGTATAGATTCTGTCCTATTAACACCACCCCACACGTCATTAATTGAAAATCAAACTATGACAAGACACCCAGGCCACTATGCACCCCTCAGATACCTGCATCCCAATACAATCTAGTTCTTGGTAGTAGAGTAGAAAGTGACACAGTGAATGTTTGCACATATTCTGTCTGCAAGAGCATAGCAAAGCTGACATTCTCTTAAACAATGAGCAGATCAACTTATAAACTGCAGAAAGTGCATAGAAGGATGATCATGATGTCTGAGAAGTGTCAAGGTTTCTGTAATTTGCAAACACGTATCCAGTATCTCCTATAAAAAACACTACGTCAATCAAAACTTTAAAAAGACAATAATTCTCTGGTGACAGCCAACTTTTAACCCCAGTTTATGCTTAACCCCAGCTCAAAGATGCCTTTACAGTTTGCTGCTATTTAGATCCCAGAAGGGATGATCTATCCGTTTACTACAAGGCTACCTTCTCCTCTGCACTGACTATGTAACTACAATACACACACAGGTTCAGC